GCCCCACGCCCACCTAGGCCCTTCAGCCTCTACCCCTAGAAGCTCCCAGTCTGGTGTGAGAGTTCGATGTGGAACCAGTTATCATGCAGTGTCAGTGTGCTGGGAGGGAGGGAAATACTGGGGTCAAGTGACGAGACCCCGGGCCAGTCTTGGCTGAGGCAAGGACAATGGGGACAGAGGGGGCAGCTAGGAAGAGTTTCCAGGGGTGGAGGGGGCTGGTGATAGCATAGGAGCTAAAGGAAACACTGGAAAACAAATGGGTGTTACCTTGGCCAGAGAGAAAAGGTCCCAGAGAAAGTGTGTTGGTGGGAGTGTGGGGGGTAGAAAGTAACGGGAGGAAATGAGGGTAAGTGCGAAGCCTGGCTAGGTGGTCCAGAAGCCACGCCCCCAGGGTGGTCGAGGAACACAGCAAAATGTAAGCCCCACCCCCCATCTCTCTGCATGGGGTCAAACTGTGTCCTCAGCAAGATGGGAAGGGCCTGACAAGCGGGGACCTGGCTCTCACTGAGCCTGGTAGGGGATTTTCTAAGTAGCTAAATCTATCTTCATTATTATCCATCCTTTACCAATGAGGAAGCTGGGCATAAGAGGCTGGAGGAGCCAGGGCTTGAACCAGAGCTGCTGGGCTCTGTTCCTTTCTGACCGGCCGCCCCTCACTACCCCACATGCCTCCAGGCTGGTCCAGGGCAGCCCAGGGAGAGGAGCCCACCAGAGTGGGTTGGCCGCTGGATGGACTGAATGGGCGAGTGTAAAACACCTCTGCTCCCCCAGCTTGTTTTCCTTGCGGAGACACAGCACTGTGTGCTGAGAACACACAGTTGGTTCTCAAACATTGGGTGCCCCAGTCTCCAGCCTGGCATGCACACTTGTGAGCCCCCCGCCCCAGGATGCTGGTTCTGGGAGTCTAGGCTGGAAGCCCTGGAATCCTACATGTTGTGAGAGACCTCCAGGGATAAAGGAGACGGAACTTGGCATTCGACCAGGGTTCAAATCCCATCTCCATCTACGAGATGTGTGATCTTGGGTGACTTTCTTGACTTCTCTGAGCCTCATAAATAAAAGGCTACGCTTGATGCCCGTTTATATTTCCAGCTCTCTGCCTCTTCATTATGCCATGAACAGTGGAGTGCTTCCACTGGGGCCGCGAGAGTAAAGCAAAGAATGGGGGACCCAGTTGGGGAAGGGGGAGGGACACATTTACAGCCTGGTACCCATCCAAGGACAGCAAGTTTCCTTACTAGTTCCAGGGGAGGCTCTCCTGGGGGCCCTACCTCCAACCCTGACCCCCCAGCCAGCTCTAGGCTGGAAGGCAGTTCTAGAAATGCCCTGCTGGGTCCTCACACCTCCTGTGCCCGCTCTGCGCCAGGAGAGCTGAGTCATGGAAAAAGTTAGTTCTCCAGACTACAGCTCACCCCCCACTCCAGCAAACCCACAAAGGCTCCTTTCATGGTTTTTGGGTGGGGAGGGGGTGCGGTGGCTGGCTGTGGGGCCCTCTCCCTGGGCTGCGATGTGAAATTTCAAACTTTACCATGGAGTTAAGTTCCCCACCCCTTGTCCCCAAGGAAATTAAGGAAGGAAAGGTACCAAGAGCAAAGGACAAGGGATGGGGGAGGCGGGAGAGGAGGATCCTGTCCCATGCAGTTCTCACTAAAGCCAAGCCACAGGGACCCTCCAGACATCCCCCAGCCCAGTGCCCCCTCAACCTTGCCTTCCTGGGGATCAGGTGGGGGGGAGGTGTCACCAAGAGGGGACAGACCGTACCCCACTGGGCAGCTGATAATAGAAGCCTGAGGCCCACAGGGATAGCACGCCCACAAAACCCAAGTCCTGAAGGTAGAACAAGTAGGAAAAGGGGTCTGCTTCCAGGCCAGAAGCCAGTCCCCACCTCCTTTTAGGACTGCCTGACTTGTTCCTTTTAATTCTGCTTTCTGCCCAAAGCTGATGGCTGGAAGAGGGAAGGGGACCCTCCATTGTGGGCTTCCGTGGGTCACTTGGATATGCTGTGTCTCTGTTTCCTCCTGCATTAAACAGCTGGGATGGCACCCCTTGGCAGGCAGCCTCGTCTCTGAAATCAGGATGTGTGAAAAGGGCCTGATACCCTGGATGCTGATGTGGGTCCTTAACCTCCTGTCTGCCCTCTGCCCGCCTTCCATCCCAAAGACATGCGCAGGGGAAACATAAGCAGGACCCAGTGGTCCTCCAGCCAGCTGGCATCAGAATGGGGCGGGTAAGGGCGCCTGGGTGGCTCAGTTGGTTGAGCAACTGCCTTCGGCTCAGGTCATGATTCTGGAGTCCCAGGATAGAGTCCTGCATGGGGCTCCCTGCTGAGCAGGGAGTCAGCTTCTCCCTCTGACCCTCCCTGCTGCTTGTGCTCTCTCTCGCTCTCTCAAATGAATTTTTTAAAAATCTTAAAAAAAAAAAAAAAAGAATGGGGGCAGGTAGCATATTGGGGACCAGGGGACACAGGTGAACATGCCACTGTTTATGAGTGGCATAAGATCTCTGTGCTGGTTGTCTCCTGGGTCAAGCCGCAGACACGTGTGGAGGTGGAACTATGATTTTCGCAGCCCTTTTTAGGCTTTGGGTGTTGCCCTGACGTAGGAGAAAGATCTGGAAGGAAAAGGAGAGCTGGTGAGTGAGCAGGAACACTGGAGGCCACGCAGGGGCAGCCCAGAGGCGCAGTGTGGCAAGCGGGCCACTAGGCGGCTCCGAGGATAACAGATGACAGATGTCGACAGGCGGAGTGCAGGGTTCCAGCTCCAGATTTCCCCAGCGTCTCCTTAGCAGGCCGGCTGACACCAGGCGTGGCTGGGTGGAAAGGGCCTGTCTCTCTCGGGTTGGGATTTCTTTTCCATTTTTAGAGACTTCCAAGGTGGGAGGACACGGGCACTTTGACAGAGCCCTGCCCTTCGCCACTGCCTAGGAGTCAGATGAAGGCAATGGCCCGCTCTTCGGTCGCACTTTTGGGGGGGCTGCATGGAGACCAGAGGGAGCCTCATCCCCACTCTCCTCCTCTTGCGCACGAGTAGGGTAGTGTGGGGGGAGAAATCAGGTCCATGTTTGAATCCCTCCTTCCTCTAGTTTCTGGCTGGGTAATCAGAAAATGGAGCTACTAATATAAGGTCCATGGGAGGATTAAATGTCCTAATATACGCTCTCTGTGTGAAAGCTCTTGTCCGACCCCACTCTTGCAGACGATAAGTTTCCCAATTCACCTGGAAGGAAGATCCTCATCTGGCCTGCAGAACTTCTCCCCAGAACTAGAGAGCCGTGGGCCGGGAGGTCATCCCCAGCCACCGCCTCCCCCAGATCAGCTTTTCTGAAAGTGACTCCCTCACCGGCACCTCACCTCGGCAGGGCTCCCAGGTGGCGCACTGAACAACCTACTAATTCCAGGGCACCCAGCCCTGCTGAATCAGAAGGTCTGGGGGTGAGGCCCGGCTTCCTCGCCCCAACAAGCCTGGCTGGAGAACTCCTGCCCCAGATTACAGAGTAGATCCGTGGCTCATCCTCCTCTCGGCCTCCTGGCCAGGGAACCGTCAGGGGCAGTGGGAGGCAAGTCCCATCAGCACTTCTAACTGGAGCTGCTTTTGTGTGACTCACTTCCCAGACTTCCTGCGACAGACCTCTCTAAAGAGCGGGGTCCCACCCTGCAGCAGAGGAGACGCTCTCCCCGGGGGGGGGCAGGAGGTGAGAAGGTGGGTGCCAGGCTAGGGCAGCCCAAGGAGACCCAAAGACAGAAGTCGCCGCCTGCCCAGCACAGGGGGCTCCCGTGTAGGACATCTTGTTTACAGGCTTTTGTTATTAAAGAAATTGCTGTCAGTCAAGGTAATTCTACCCCAGATGAGCAATAAATATGCTCCCAGCTAATCTTATGGGGATTTTATTGGCACCTTGGGGGCAGAGGTTCCTTTAACCCTCCTCATCCCCGCCTCTCAAAGCAAAATCCGGCTCCCCAGCTGTTCCCCGCCCCCAGCCACAAGAAGGGCTCGGGCAAGACTAAGAAAGTGCAGCCTAAGTGAAGACAGAAGGCGTCTGGGCAAAGGGCGGGAGCGGTTTCCTGGTCCTACCTGGAGGCAGGGGCTGACCAAATAGCCTGAAATAACCCCGGGTCCACCTGGCTGGATCAAAGCGCGCGCGAGCTCCCCCGGGCCTGCCCCGCGCGCAGGGCCCGGCACCTGGCCCCGAGGGCGCCCCCAGCTCGGGGAGGGGAGACCGCGGCCCGGGCCGGGAGGAATGTCTCGGGGAGGGAGCCGGTTCGCAGAAGTCGGTTCCAGCGTGTTCGAGTTACTGCTGCGAGCCCTCAGGGACACCGCCGGCAAGTCCCGGCTTGCAGAGAGGGGAGCCAGCCCGGGAGAGCGCGAGTCGGAGCGAGCCCGTGTGCGCGCCCGCGCGCGCGCCCCGCACTGCGCAGGGGGAGGGGAGGCCGCGGCAGCCACTCAGAGGAACGGTAGTGAAGCCTCCGAACAACTTTAACTGTCAATCAGACTTAATGGGGTATTAAAAAATGGGGGGGTCTGGGGGGGGGGGGGGGAGGAAAGGGCAGCCCTCTCGCTCCGCGCCGCTGCTGCCCCGGGAGCGAATGAATAAGGCGGCGCTGACGAGGGCGTCCGATCCACACGCGCTCCGCTCCCGGGCCCTCTCCAAGTTGGAAAGGACAAAAAGAAGGCAATAAATGCTAACGAGGGAGAGAAAGGGAGCCGGATCGAGCGGCAACTCCCGGCCTCTGCTCGGAGAGGGAGGGCGAGAGCCGGAGGGAGCGAGCGCGCGCGAGGGCGAGCCATGCACGTAAAGAAACTGACACCCGGACCCCCCACTTCTCCTGCACGTTGCTGGCAATCAGATCGCGTTTAAGCAATTTCCTGAGCCCGAGAATAGCAATGAGTCGGGAGACTTTCGCGGGCTGAAATTGGGAGCTCCAATCACTCCCCCCCCCCCCCCGCCTTTTTTTTTTTTTTTTTTTTTCCTGGAGAAGGGGTGGGGGGGCGCTACAATTTGGAAACGGCTTTTTTTTTTTTTTTTTTTTTAAATCTTGCACTTTGAAACCGCGGGACTGTAGCAGGGTGCGCGCGTGTGGTTGGTGCCTCCCCCCCCCACCCCTGCCTAAACTCCTCTGTCAGCCTGTAAACATTACCTGAGAATTCCCCAGCCGAAACGGCTGCTGGGGCAAGAAACTTCTTGTTAGAACTTTCCACCTCCGGCTTCCCCTCCAGCCCTCTTACTGTCCCAACCTTCTCAGACGCTTTTTCTCCTCTCGAGGAGGATTTATCTTTTTCTTTTCTTTTTTTTTTTTTTTTTTTCTCTCTCACCCGGTGTTTTGCATTTGGGACGAGGTGATTTCAAGAGTGGCCAGGTGGGACGCCTCGCTCCTCCCCCACCTTCATTCAGTTTGTTTATTATTGTTTGGGGTGTTTTCTTTTCTTTCTTTCTTTCTTTCTTTTTTTTTTTTTTTTTTAATTCCTGTTTTGCTCGGTCCGGGGAGTTTCGCCCCCCTGCCCGGCTCCGCGGCGCGGAGGATGGTGTGGAAATGGCTGGGCGCGTTGGTGGTGTTCCCTCTGCAGATGATCTATCTGGTGGCCAAAGCAGCCGTCGGACTGGTGCTGCCCGCCAAGCTGCGGGACCTGTCGCGGGAGAACGTCCTCATCACCGGAGGCGGGAGAGGCATCGGGCGCCAGCTCGCTCGCGAGTTCGCAGAACGCGGCGCCAGAAAGGTACGGGGCTCTGCGACTCCAGGGGGTGGGGGCTGAAGGTGCGGGGGACGCCCACCTGCTGCCGCGGCCGAACCCGCACCCGGGAGAGTCGCCGGCCGCCCTACTTCTCGGCGCCACCCGCGAGTGCTGAGCTAGTCGGTTTCACCTTGTAAATTTCCCGGGCACCAGACTGTCTTTTTGGCAGGTCCGGAGCCGGTCCGCTCCTTTGGGGTCGGGGGCCGGCCGGCCGGCCGTTCACCCCCCACCCCGAAACCGAGGAGACCCACCCATTTCCCACATTCCTCCCTCCCGAAGGAAGGTGGTGTGTTTTCCCCCTTCGCCCTCCCCCCATTGCCACCACCCTGGTGAGTGCAGGGTGTGTGCGCTCCTGGGTAGAGCTGGGAGCCGCCTGCTAGCTGGCTTCGTATTTTCCTTGGCAACCCGCTTCCCGGCCCCAACCTGGGCGGCTGCGGCTCTGGAGGCACGAAGAGAGGGGATACTCGGTTAGGGTTTGAAGGGGGGAGTGGTCTTGGATGTCTAGCCTGGCCTGACAAGCACTCCCACGCCCAGGTGTTTGGAAATCTAGAAAGAGGGGGACAGCGGTAACCAGCAGCTGATAAAGAGCCCTTGTTCCCACCTTCAACCCTGCCTCCTCCCCCCAGATACAGCCCGAGAGGGGATTCCTCCCCACTAGGGGAGGCGGTGGCACTGTGGGTAGGGCCCTCCTGCCCCTGGGCTGCCTTTAGGTTTTTGGTGGTGATAGCATCTCTTCCTCTGGTTTTCCCAGACCTGGTGCCTTAGAGTGGGGAGGGTGAGGCGGCTGTCACCCAGCTCTGACCCAAGCCAGGCTGACTCACCCAGTGACTAGAGCAAAGGAGAGAGAGATTGGAGGCCGGCAGGCCGGACTGTCTCCAGCCGGCCCTGTGAAGAGGAAGAGCAAAAACAGGCAATTAGTTTGAAGCTTCAACTGTTGGGGGCGGGGGGCGCTGCGGGTGAAAGGGCCGGAGAAGCCAGCTGATCTGACAGGCAGCCACAGACCTAGGGGATTAAGTAAATACGGACGGTAGAAAAGCAAACCTGCCTGTAATTCCAGGTTGCTTTTGTTTTGTTAAATACTGCCCTGAGATTTACAATTCCTCCGGGGTGGCTCAGACTGGGACTGAACTTTGGAGCCTGAACTATCAGCCAAAGCCGAGGACCGGTTAACTCTTCCCCTGCCGGGCCAGCGTGGGGGAGGGGAGGACCGCGGTGGCCCAGCTCGCCCGGAGTCGGCTGTCCCTGGCTCCTGCTTCTCCTTGGGTGGTTTGGACAGCTGCTTGACCTTGTAGTTGGAAGAGTCGTTCGGAAGTGTTTTTAACCCTTGGACACACTGAAAAAGGAGAAGTAGGGGTTGTTCTCAGCAGTTTCATTTCCTTGGGGTGATGCCCCGTCCGAGGGCTCCCCAAAGCCCTTTGTGGAGGGGGATCAGGAGGTGTCCTTGTAGGGGTAGGTGGGGTTGGGGACAGTCGCGTGTGATTGTCATTCCTTAGCTGTCTGCATCCCGCAGAAACTTTCTTCGGACTCTTCCAGCTGGCCCAAGTCCTGGTCTCTTTTACTGCTTTTGTAACTGGCTGCAGTAGGCTTACGAAGAACTCTTTTAGTCAATCTGGAAAAACTTGACTGACTATAAACAATCCTAAGTTAAAGAAGTATATGCCATTGGCAACGGCAAGGGCTGGGGGTGGGGAGGCTTAGTAAAATAGCGCCGAGGGACACCCTGCAAGTTCATGCACTGGGAACCGTGTCCTTCCTGACTTGGAAAGGACATTCTCTTCCAGGGAATAAACTCAGGGCCATTTAGAAATATGTCTCAAATTGGTACTGGGTCTCCAGAAACGGGATCCATGGGGGCCTGAGAAACTCCCAGTGCCATTCATGCTGGGTTTAGTCATCAGCCCTCAGGATGAACCAGAGCGCTCTCTATAACTCTTAACTGTCTGACCAATTACTAAAGCTACTTTTTAATGAGCCCTCCACTTGCTGCCACGGTGGGGAATTTGGAATCTGCCTGAGTCCGTCTGGGGCCAATGGAGAGGGCTCTGGGACGATCCTGAGCCTGGAGTGTTTGGGGTCCCACTGGGCTTGGGGACAGAGGGCCCCGTATTGTGGAGTGGGGAGTTAATGGGGGCCTGCTGAGCACGTTGTGCAAACTGTGGGCTTCAGGGTGGTCGTGGATGGGCTGCCGAGAGCCGGGGAGAGTGGCACCAGCCACAGCCTGCAGGGATGCCAGTGAGACAGGTGAACTTGCTGAACCACAGATCACTGTCCTTCTCCCTGTGTCAGAAGGAGAGGCTGCTTCTGAGAACCCTTCCAACTGGATTTAGGTGGCTTTGGATCTGGAGGGGGAGTCCCCCAAAGGGAAAGAAGTAAGGAAGGCCAGAGCCTCTGCCAGCAGACGGTATACCCAGAAGAGATGTCCGTTCACCTTGGGAAAGAATGACAACCCAGTTTCCCATAATGATCTTTGGCAATATTTGTGGGTGGGGATGTGCCTTAGGCTGCAAAGGTGACCCAAAGGAGTGTTTTCTTAAAGGGTCACAAAGGCTCCAGGAGTTGGAAAGTTGGAAACATCTGTCCTTACCCACAACATATCGAGGTAAACTGAGGCATGGCCGGCCCTGGTTAGGGGTCTCCAAGGGGAAGGCTCCTACTTGGTTATTCCCACTATAGTATTTTTGGTTTTGTTTTCTGGGCTTCCCTGGAATTCCTCCGGAGAAAGCATCCATAGAGCTTGGGCCTTCCCCCCATCCTCTCAAGGCTCCTGGCTGGCTAGTCGGCTGGCAGGGCCTCCAAAGTCTTTGACTTTGACTGGGATTTAGCAGGGGCCCCGAGGAGGAGGAGAAGTGGACTGTTGGTTTGGAAGTTTTTGCAGTGACTGTTCCAGTTTCTGTTCCAGTATGAGGCAAGGGGCTAGATGAAAGTCCTGCGCTGTGATTGTAGGCCCGTGGAGGCAGGGGCGACAAATGAGGGCCCAGCCCAAATATAAAGGACGGGTATAGCCCGGACTCAGGGACCCATTCATTTCCAGGAGGCAGGATGAGAGCTGGCTCAGAGTTGCATCTGCTTGGCTGGTACTGAGTTACAATATGTGGGTGGAGAGTCTTGTTCCTGAAGCAGCTAGCCAGGAACTAGCCCTTTACGTCGATTTGTGAATCCTGTTCTGCCCCATCCATTCAGCAAGTCCCATCTCCTTCCCATTCCTGACGCTGGGGCAGGCCCAGGCCCATCTATGCCGCAATGACCGTCTAGTTCACCGAACCTGCTTGAGGGGTCTTTCAGGTGTTTGGCACAGTGCTAGGCCTGGAGGGGGGCGGGGGGGCTGGGTACAACAAAGATGAAGAAAGACCCAGAGACCCGGCTGGATGCTCAGGGTCAAGGCGCAGATTACAGTGTGTGTTCATTTCTTCTGGCCACCATAACAGAGTACCACTCACTTGATGACTTACAGCAGGAATTCACTCTCTCGGAGTTATGGAGGCTGGAAGTCTGAAAGCGAGGTGTTAGCAGGGCCCCCTCCCTTGAAGGACCCGATGGGAGACTCCGTCCTTGCTTCTTCCTGTTCTTGAGGCTCCTGGAGCTCCTTGGCTTGGGGCGAGACCTCTCTGGTCTCTGCGTCCTCGTGGGGCCTTAACCACTGTCTCTGTCCGACTCTGTGCACTCTCCTTATAAGGATACCAGTCAATGGGTCATGAAGCCTCAATCAGTAATGAACCTTAACTAATTACATCTCCAAAAACCCTACTTCCAATGACATCACAGTCAGAGGTTCTAAATGGGCCTGAGTTGCTCATTCATGGGGGGTGGGGAGGGAGATGGAGATGTTAATCTCTAACAGAGGCTCACAGAAGGCTTCCTAAAGGAGGTGGCATTTGAGACAACAGTTCCAAGTAGAAGGGATGTGAAAAGGTCACTCCAGGTGCAAGGAAACACCTGAGCAAAGACTGTGTGCCCCCCTGGAATCAGGGAAGGGAGGCAGAAGGCAAGGAGGGACAACATCGTAGAGTGGGATGGGGAGGTGGGGAGGTATCTCAGACCCTGAGTCAGGCCAGTACAGATGAGAACAGGAAAAAGGAAGAAGAGAGGACAGGGGTCCAGACAGGGATTCCTTTGGGACCCAGAGCCACCAGCACGAAATAGCTTATTAAACAATGATGTGTGGAGGTCCCAAAAAAGGGCGTGCTATGGGAGATGGCAATGGTGCATCTCCCCTGCCCTCACCCTGAATGCAGACTCGGCTAGAAATTTCTGGGAAAAGGAACAGGCTCCCATTTGATGGCGGCTTGAAGCAAGAAGGTAGCCACCTGTCCTACCCACAGCATCTAGGGAAAGTGTTTCAGCTTGGGGCATCAGGACCTTGGGTTTCAAACAATGGGCCTTGCACTTGGACCATGTTATGAATGGGCCCACACCTCCCTCTTACTTCCCCGCCCACTTCCCCTGAGGAGCCAGGCGGCAGAACTCTGAATCCGTGCCAGTTGTGGCCCGGATTCCGTGGGGTTCCCTAGACCCAGCTCTGCTACAACCCTGGGAAAGTAACTACCTTCTCTGGGCGGCAGCTAAGCAGCACACCTATAAATGAGAGAGGCCACAATGACCCCTAAGATCCTGGCATGCCTTAAAGTTCTCTTATCACGGATCAGCCATCCCAGGAAAGCAGCAGATTACCAAGCTCCCGGAGCTGGGAGGGAAAGACTGATTCAGAATACGGTTGTCCTCTTTCCTGCTGATCTCAGCCATTCTTGCTACTCCTCAGATGCCACTGACAGAAAAAGCAGCAGCTCAGTGTTGGGAAACATGCCTGTGGTGGATGGGAGGCTCATTCCCACTGCTCAGCTCTCTCCACAGCCTCCGACAGCTAGCTGTTGGCCATGGGTTTATTTTAACTCTTATAGGAGATAATATTTTCAACTTATTGCTTCCAGGGCATGGACGGGCCCAAATTCCCCAACTAGCATATCAAGGAGAACTTCCAGCTTATCCTA